GGGAACTCCCTCGGAATCCATCATACCAGAGAAGCGAAAGTTCATGAGCTGGTGATCAGAAAATCTCTCTTTTATTCCACCTTCCACACACATTTTTTGCTTGATCATGGGCGGCGAGGCCAAACAACAATGACCCTCGTAGTGTGTTGACTCAGATCTAAGGCAATATTAGTTCGAAATTTGTAGCGTTTCTGATTCTGATAAAGGCGAATCTCCCTAATTCTCTCAAACTTCCAGCCTTTTTTAGTTCTGAATACGTGTTAATTAGCCCTTGGCTAGCAAGATGGATTTTCATATTTCCAATTCGCGAACATGGCTAGAAATGATTAGCATGACTGTCAACCTTTGGGGCCTAGAGCCCTGAGATGACGAGCAAGATACCAGGCAGACTTGAGAGTTCGCTTACAATTTCAACAAAAAGGAGTACCCCTAGCTTAGTACAAATAGAATAGACATGCTTGCATGGATCCACGGCCGTGACCGCAAACTTGGGGCTCTCGCCAATTGTATGACCAAAACCTTTAGCCAAACGCGCCCATCTGCCTCGAAACAAACCTCAAATCCCTGGCTTTTCTTGTTTACGCTACAGGTTGACAGGATTGAATGGTGCAGTCACTCTAAAACGTATCAAGGGGTTCTCATCCGGATCTTACAGGCAAGTCGCCATAAACTCGCCGTCCCTGGCAGTGGTAGAAGTATATATATTCAGATAAATCGTTGAGCTTATTCATAACCATGGTCGTATACTCCCTTATCTGGACATATTCTTCGCGTGCCTAAAATCTACCAAGGCTCACTGTCTATGTGTCGACCGCTGCAACTTCTCCGCTCCGTTCCTTCAAGCCCCCGCCCACTGCGTGATGATCTCAGCTCGGATGAACTACCAGGGATACCGTATTCATTAAAGCAATCCCTGCTTGGTTTTATACGCTTGAAGGGTACTCCGGTTGAGCTTAGATATATCGTGGAATATTCCAGGCCGTGGCACGTTTGACATTGAGCTTATGGTAGTCTCGGGTGAGTGAAAGGCTTATCTTTTTGTCTTTCTTTAGTGCGGAGGAGTTCTCGGCGGGAGGGGAATTTGCTTTGGATCTCAGCTTGATCTTTAGTTCTTCAACAATTGTAACACCGCAGTTTCAACAATGGTAACGCAGTGTGTGGTGAGATGTCCATGTACCGCATGGACAAGCTCCGGGCTGTATCGTCACACTCTAGCTCCTCTGATATCCTTCCCGTGGATCCCCGAGCAGCTCTGTCTGCTAAGGAAGTCCAGGAACCAGGATTGCACGGAACTAGCCAAGATGACGGTGATACCATACCTCAGCATCAATTACCAGCTCGGGGTGAGACTTATACATACTGTACGACGTGGTAAAATGAACCACCGATTTTGGCGCGCCCAGCTGTGTGATGGTGATATCGAATGATAATAGTACCCTGCTCCCTTGATTAGGTTATTTTGCGCGTATATTGCAGAAGTCAGCAAGAGACACCGATAACCAAGGGCACCCGGTTGATGCTGTACAGGTCTACATCACGCCGTCTATTTCAGGCTCTGGGTTAGATGGCCAATACTACCTACCGTACGCACTGACCAGATATGTGATTTCTTGTTTTTCTTTCGGAAGCATTGCATAATCTGGCCCCTTTTCTTAGTTCGGCCGCCAAGATATGAACTTGTCGACATCCTGTAGCAGAGTCGTTGGGGTTCCTTCTGGTAGCGACAATCTAGAATCTCATTGCTTCTAATCCCCAATTCTTCATGTTCCTTCTTCTTAATCTGTCGCTCTGGCAGCCCGGTAGATCCCACCCTCTCAAGTGAGGATGGATGTCTCCAGCCACCAATTACAAGCTAAAACCAGGGACTGGCAGGAGAAATGAGACACCTAATGGATGAGTTTTGGTTCTAAACAGACTACTTTCTACAAAAAAAGAGAGAAATTCAGTAGTATAAAATGAAACCAAGTGATAATTATCTCTGAGGTATGTATTATTAGCGCTTAATAGTCTGACAATACCGGTCGCAGACTCGAAAATAAGCAGCTTAATGTTTGAGTGTCTCAATTTCAATGTCGCCCACTTGACTGGGTGTTCGGGGTGGAGATCGGGCGTGAGCGGGGATTGGCAAAATAGAAACATACATGCAGGATAGACGGCACACATCACACTTGACGCACCTCGTTCAATGCTCTTTGCTTTCTGCATCTTATTGGCTGCGCCACGGCGGCTTCTGGTCTGTTCACGCTTGGGATGGCTGCCATCTCCCGGCCTGCTCCTCCATTCTAAGCCAATGAGCCAGCCAAATAGCTCGACAACAGGACAGATTCTCGGCCGCAGCCAACCACCCCTTAGTGGCGTATCAGCAAGGACGCTAAACGCGATGTTTGGCACCAAGGCAAAGACTAGAGGCCACTAGCGCTCCTTGCAGCACCATTTCCAAGCGAATGTTGCTGAGACGTTCATGGTCTTGCGCCACTCTCAAGCAGCTCCTTCTCCAGCCAGGGATCAACCTGATTTCAGCCCTGCAACTACCGCAGCAACCTGGAAAAGGGGACTTGCGAAAGCTCGTCTGCTGGCAAATGCAACCCCTGCTCAAACGACAGGGCCAATGAGGTGCTGCACTTGTGCTTACATGAAAGGCAAATCGTAACCTGCGGCTGGTCGAATGTAAGACCACGTGATTTGGGCTTCTTGGATCGGGCAACAGGCCAATCAGAGGGCGCATCTAAAATTACCCCCAGCCATGCCGCTTCGCTCCTAGCCGGGCACATCAGCCCGAATCGTACAGGGGAGGAGACGCTATCAGACCTGCTACGACCCAGCCCCGGAGAGATTTTGGGACTTGACGCCAATCGCTGGGGCTGAGATTCACAGGACCCGACCAAAGGGCTGGATCGGCCCCATTAACCACTGCCTGGTCGCGATCCAAGGCCACGGCCTTTTCGAGCTAGCCAGCTAACTCCGTGCCGTGCTTATGGATTGGTCCTCTCGCTGGTGGGCTTGATCCAATGCCTGCAATTCTTTCCTGCCGCACGCTCCCGTCCCCTGGCTTGTGCACCCCAAAGAAAGCCCTCGGCGCCACGACTCAGCTCTCCTTTCCTTTTCCTCCCACCACCCATCAAATACCAACACACTCGTTTTGATAGCGAACGCACTGCGAGAGCGCGTCTACTCTCGGTTGGACTTGGATTCTTAGCTTGAGCTAGAGGGATAACATTCGCTTGCTCTCGTTTCTCCCCAGCCTACCACCACAAACCCCCCACCTGTATATCGTTTGGTGGCTCTGAGTATCGAAATCCATCATGGCTCGACGAAGTGTGCAATGGACCACGTCGCTGTTCTGCCTGTTCCTCTTTGCCGGAGCAGCCCTCGGTCTCGAGAATGACTTTAGCTTTTACCCCAGTGGCGCGCGGAGCTGTCTCACCCAGGCAGCAAACCAGTCAAAATGTTCTGGGAGTGACGCAGCTGCCATGAACACCTGCCTTTGTGGCAATGGAGGCAATTTCATCACCAATGCCGCCGCGTGTATTGGGAAGAACTCGTCCGGCGATGTCAAGGACACCTACGACGTAATGCAGAAGGCCTGCTCGACCTCAGGCACCCCCATGGAGGTCAGCCAGGCCGACTTCATGTCTGCAGCATCTGGAACCACAACCACCAAGACGACCTCGACGACAAAGACAACGTCATCTTCGACCGGTACGGCAACTTCTACTGATGCCACCACCACAACAACCAGCGCCCAATCAACTGCTACTACCACCTCAGCCGCCGACTCATCTTCAAGTTCCAGCGACAAGGGAGGTCTGTCCCAGGGTGCGACCATTGGTATCAGTGTCGGTGCTTCTGTTGGAGGCGTCGCCATCATTGCAATCATCGCCTTCATCCTCTTCCGCCGCTACCGTCGCCGTGGCCCTGAGGCGGACCCCATGCTCCCAACCCGCACCAACATGCCGACGGCCTATCCAGAAGGAGGATTTGCTAGCTACAATGACTTCAAGGCTCACAGCCCGGCCCCTACTGCGCCAACTTCAACCGCGACCCCCGCCTCGTGGGTCAGTCCCTCGCCGCCGTCTTTCCAGGGCCACCCACACCCGGCATACGCGCCGCACGGAGTATACGCGCAACATCAACCTCCTCCGGTTGTGGCAGAGCTGGCATCGGATGCGGTGCCTGGGAACTCAACATTCTCGGCAGTAGAAATGCCCGGATCGATTCCTCAGGGACGGAAGTGATGTGTTTTTCTGAGTGAGTGAAGGAAGAGTTTTCCGACAACCTTGATTTTACCAGCGAGTGAAAATAAACGAAAGCGGAGGGCAGGGGTTATCTGCCACACTTGGCCCAGGCGTTTGTCTCACAGGAAGAAGAGGCAGGGTCAAGCATGAGGCGAGGGACAGGACATATAATATATCCGGCTTAGGTGCATTGGCGTCATTGTGTTTTTGGCGTTGTTTCTCTCGCATTGACTGGATTGGATCTACTTTAATGTATATTGGTTTTGCACATGATTCGAGCCTTGGAGGGTACACATCTTTTTCTACTGGCATCCCCGTATATAGATGCTGCTTTGACAGCAGTTTTCTAATCCAGAGATAAAGAATATTTCAACATCCAAAGTTCCAAGACGCCGTGGTAGGACGCATCCTATAGGTCGATTCATCGCGGTCCATCCGCGACCCCAGCAAAGTCAGCAAGGTGGATTGGCTCGCGGATGTAATGGCAGGGTGATGATGGGTCGTCTCGTTTGATTTCTACAAAGATCTCGCCGAATGCGTACCTGCGTTGCCAACATGTGGCAGGCCTGCACGATGCTACATGGGGCGCGTGGCGATGTATTGGCCCCAATACCAATGATACCATTTATTCCTTTTCTTTAAACAACCCTCATGCCGAACACACGCCAGACCTCAGTTCTCGTCACAGGGTACATTCTAACCCGTCGAAATTACGCGGGAAAAGGCCAATGAAAATGAGCAGATGCCTTCCTGGAGGCATTAGACATGCCCCCATCTCGGAGTATCGCCGTCGCGGTAACACACCACGAACCTACCATTGATCCTCACCATATGGACAATCCAGAGCCGACTCCAGCCAAGTTACCAAGCCATAGCGATTTCTCGGAACCCGGCAGTCCTTCAGGAACTAACCAGGCAAGGCTTCAGCGCTATCCGGCTGGTTTTCACCAACAAGGAGAACATGGCACAATGCAAGTGGGAGGTCGAAAAGCTCACAGGCGGCCATGTCGACACTCTAACCAACAAGGCGTGATCCATCAAGGACGAGATGATCTGCCGATGATTTGAACCATTCTGGGCGGCCCAAAAGGAGTGACATCGAGTTGAGGCCGTCTCCTGTATTGACAAGTGCCCCAGCTTCGGCGAGGAGCTTTGATATGTCCAAGCAACCATTCTACGAAGCCAGCGAAGGGCCATCGGCACTTGCAACATTGAAATTGGCTCCATGATCAATCAGAGAACCCCCCTAGATGGTGTAAAAGAAAACTCTTCTCTCAAACTCAATAGAGAGGTGTCCAACCGCAATTATCTTACGTGTTCAGTCTGTCGCGAGAGTGTACAACCAATCAATCAATAAAAAGAAAGGCGAAAAAAGGAAAAAAGAAATGCCTCTGCTCGGGTTCGAACCGAGGAACTCTCCCCGGCCCCCGTAATGTACCCTTCCTCTTCCCGGGCCTCGTCAGGCGCCGGAAAGGGCCGTCTTGACAGTGCGAGTACATCACGGGGAGGCAGCGTCGGAGAGCGCTTACCACTGCGCTACAGGGCCAGTTGTTGAATGACATTAGGAATCCCCGGGGAACTTGTATATAAGGTGTTGGCCTCTGCGGGTTGGTTTGAGAGCCGGCGTGGTCGTCGTGGTCGGCGCCAGAACGCTTGACGGTCGGTGTGCTCGAGTGCCAACGGCTGTCAACGCAATGCCCCTCCTCACTTGGCCAAAAGGCCGAGCACCTTTTTATGGCCTATTCCCTGAGGCTGATAAAAGCGCTGTAGATGCTCGATTATTTCTGCCATCGATATCCGCTCCAGATTCAAGAAGGGCCTCCACAACGCCCAAGTGATCATGTGCCGAGGCCATGATGATGGATGACAGGCCATCTATATGACAAACATAGACATCTGCCTCGCGATCGGGCTCCACAATCCCTTAATGTTCTCTCCTTGAGGCAATCATGAGCAGAGAAATCTGACCATTGCGATAGATATTAACATTTGCCCCTTTCCTATGGAAGCCTCACGAGCCCCATTCTTGTGTTCTGGCGCCAGGGAAAGAGATGTCAAACCATCATCATCCTTGTATCAAGTCTGCCGCATTTCGAAATCAGCTGGGTAGGGAATCTCTTTCCTTTGGAGTTTTTGGCATCAGGAGATCATCTGCAACCCGTCTGGCTCCAGGCCCTAGGAATCACTCTTTATTTGTATACTGCCCCCATCGTCCAAGCTTCTCCATACCGTTTAAAGTAGCATGGGTCAGGGAGCTATTACGGTGGACCAAATCCAAGCAGGCAATAAACGGGAACCTTGATGGTCAACCGAGAAGACGGCCCCACCCGGCATCAAACCATCAAGGTTCTCAACGCACACTCTTCCATTCCATCAGGTACCTCGATATTCCCCAGCTGCGCTTGGCCCTGCCCTCTCCTTGACTGTGTTCCCCCTGCGAGAAGACTGGCTCTAGCACTATGCGTCATTTAAGTTTGGGCTGGTGTGCAGCAAAGAAAAAGGTTTAAACTTTCCCGTAGCTTACATATAAGCTTAAGAGGTTTTAGGTACGACTTCAAAACGCAAAGACGACTCACCAGGAGCAGTATCACAAAACTTCAGTGTTCTAAGACGATGCCAGTAAACTTTTTATTTATTAATATCATGTCAATGCCATAGTCTTCAATATGACCAACTATTTTACCCGTCATCCGACGCATGAGCTTTTATAATATGCCAAAACAGACAATCAATGGTATCATGTTCCTCCCAATTCATCATTTACAGAGCGAATGCAACAGCAGCGAGAGCTCCAGCAAGAGGAACAAACTCGGCAGCAGCCATACCAGGCTGGGTGGAGGAGCTGGCAGCTCCAGTAGAGGTGCCAGAGCCAGAGACAGCAGCAGTGGTGGCGGGGCCGTCGCAGTGCCCTGGGGGGTAGAACGTTAGTATAGAAGCCAGGGACGAGGTGGTCAGGGTCAAGGTAACATACAGTGGTCTCCATGAGGCTCACAGCCGACAGACTCGGTAGGGCTGGGCTTGAGGCTGCCGGTGCCAGCAGCATCGGTGTGGGAAGCAGATGGGGTGGTGACTGAAGCAGCACCGGTGGCAGGGCCGGTGCAGTGCCAGTGGTCGCCATGGGGCTCACAGCCGGCAGACTCAGTTGGGCTAGGCTTCAAGCTGGCAGTGCCAGATGAGTGGTCATCGTCATCTTCATGGTCGTGGCTGTGGCTGGCAGTGACGGAAGCAGAGCCGGTAGCAGAAGTGACGGCACCAGTCTGAGTAGCAGGACCGTCGCAGTGCCAGTGATCGCCATGGGGCTCACAACCGACAGAGTTGGTGGGAGAGGGGCCAGGGTTCACGCTGCTGCTACTCTGGGCCAAGCCAAGGGGCAGGAGGCCGAGGCCGAGGAGGGCAGTGAAGGTAGAGGTTCTCATAATGACGGTAGGGGGAGGGATGGAGTGTTCTAGACTCGAGGCACGAGGCACAACGTGATGCAAGGCTGAGATGGGATGGCAGAGTAGAGATTTTAGTCGGCAGGGCAGAACAAACTACAGGATGGGTATTTATACGTATGCATGCAGGCAAGCAAGGTTGGTCCTTCGCGCCTACCTTACTCCCATGTAAGTGGCCCTCCTCTGCCCCACACGTTTATAACTAAAGATGGCGAGAGGTTCTGCTGGAAACGACCGATAGGCCGACACGGACGCCGTCTTTTGGACGGGACCCATGTTTACCTTGACCAAGACGTTGAATGTGATTTGCTAAGAAGCAAGTGGCCGTTCAGCTACTGGTCTGGCTGCTTATTGCCGCAGCCTTCTTGGCAAACCATCAAGGTGCACCACTTGCACCGACTTTGGCCCTTTGAGCAGGGCTTCAAACACGAACCAAATAAAACGCACAAAAGGACCTGCCTCGTCTGGTCGGCCGAACTTGTGATTTGCCTCCAGACTCCATTGAAATGTCAGCTCCATCGTGATCGGAGTCTCGAGTTCCTGGTTTGTGCTTTCTCTTCTCTTCTCTCTTTTCTTGTATTATAGTCGGCCCTTCGTTTCTTGACGACCACTTAAAAATGCCTGGGCCACAACTTTTCGCGAGATTCCTTGCCTGCTCTGCTCTCTGCCTCAACACCGTCCTATCGCAGAGTGAAAAGCAGCCGGAACTTGCCGCCATCCCGATCATCAAGGATGGAGAGGTTTGTAGCTATTGATGATAACCTGTGGGAAGAGAAATGGAGCTCTGACACTTGAATTCAGCCCCAATTCGCATCTGCTGTTGAGCCCCCTCTGATTCAGCCGACAGAGGTTCGCAAAGTCATCGTGACTGTGGAACAGCCTCGTGTGATACCCCATCCAGACACACCTCGTCATAAAGACGAGAAGGCTAAGCTCCTGGAAAAGTTACCAAAGAACAAGGGCACATGGAACGGTAATCACGTACGACATCGTCTTTTAGACGCACTGTACGGTTTTGTCAAATACCAAGAACGACAGAACGAGGAATTGGTCCGGCTCCGCGGCCTGTACACCAATACCGCCAAACATCAGAAAGCGGTGAGTTGAGTTGACGCCCGTGGAGAAGCACAACAGGTATCCTAATGCTCCCCGACCCAGTTATTGGAGAAGTTTGTCCAGTACTCGGGCAAATTCACCCAAATCGAAAAGCTCCTGGCAAAGAACCAAGAGCTCTGCGACCGTATTGTCGAGTCAGCCCTCTCCTTTTATGCCATTGATCGCTCAGAGCTCAATGAGCACATAAAGAATTCGGAAAAGGAGGGAAGGAAGGCGGATAAGATTTCGGTATCACAGTCCTTGAAGCACATTGTCCGTGACTGGACAGTTGCTGGGGGGACCTACGAACGCGACGACTGCTTTGCCTGTCTTACCGGCGTCCTTGAGAAACTCTACCCTGACCGAAATGAACGGTCCAAGCCACTCAAGATTTTGCTGCCAGGAGCCGGTATTGGGCGCTTGGGGCATGAAATTGCTGAACTCGGAGGTAGGGGATTTCCCGAAAATGGTCGTGATCTGATGTACTCCCGGAACTGTTACTAATCTCTCTGCAGGCTTCGAGGTGACCATAAATGAGTGGTCAATGTACATGAATGTTGCCTACCGTTTCCTCGAAACCCACGGTCATCGCATCAACTCCGAGACATTCCATCCGTTTGTCGACCTCTGGTCTCATCATGTCAGCACCGCCGACATGCAACGCCCAGTCACCTTCCCAGATGCTCCTGTCAACGCCAGCGAGGTTCTTTTAGTCGAGGGCGATTTCACCACTGTATTCAACACGAAACCGTTTCGACATTATGACGTGATTGTCACATACTTCTTCATCGACACAGCTCGCAACCTCGCAAGCTATTTCGACACCATTGAAACACTCCTCCGTCCAGGGGGCTACTGGATCAATTTGGGGCCACTCCTGTATGGAACCGCTCCCTTCGTTCAACTATCTTTGGAGGAAATCATCGTCTACGCCGAGGAAGGTCTTGGGTTCAAGTTCCTGGATGTTGCTGGGCCAGAGTGTGGCGAGCTCACATTTCCGGATCGCCATGTCCGAGGAATGGAGGCGGCGTATGGTTTCAATGATCGGGCTTTAACCAAAAATGCGTACAAGGCGCAATTTTGGGTTGCACAGCGGCCTTGAGGCACATGATGACGGAATTCATAGACTTGTATAGGTGGGCAACTAATGCTCTTATTACTATTCCACGCTGCTATGATGCAATCAGGATAGGATAACGGAAAGGTATGAGAGGGCGAATTCCTCTGGAAAGATAATAGGGGCAGGTGGCAAAATAATGATCAAATTCAATAATGAAAATGAATGCTCATGTCAACATAGCCTACAGGGACAATTTCCATCAAAACTTGGCTGGTTCTAGACCCAAACTCCTACCCCAATAGCAAGCATTTTCCATGTCTACTGATTTTAATCCCTTTTTTAAGAACGGACGCCAACCGTGCATTATACAACTTAGGGCAAATTGCCCACGAAGATTCGTACACCATCAAGGTTTACAGGCGCTCAAAAACTTTACTGAAGATCTCCCGTGCCTTGATCAAATTCACCATGCTTAACCTCTCATTGTCCAAGTGGGCTGAATCGCTCGCTTGCCCACACGGCAGATGCGCCGCCGGAGCCCCGAATTCCTTTTCGAGAAACCGAATAGCGGGAATTGATCCACCCTCCCGAATATATAGAGGTGTTCTTGGCTTGAGGGCCTTGGCAGGGGAGATGGACCGGGGGAGTTCATCTCCATTGAGGACAGGCGAACCAGTCTCGAAGCAAGCAGGCCACGCCTCGATGATGGCCTGCTCCAAAGTGCGGAAGATCTCATTAGTTGGATCTCCGAGCCAGGGCTCTGCTTTATTGTCGATGCTAGTTCTAACCCAGTTCTGAGAACCGATGGCTGCGAACTCACGATCCAAGAATTCAGTGAGCTCACGGGCAACATCGTCTACCTCTTGTCCTGGGACAAGTCGAAGACTAATGTGTGCACTAGCCTGCCCACTGATGAGACTGCCGTCCGGTCCGGAAACCTTGTACCGGTGAACTGTGAGATTCGGCTCCCGCCACCTGGCCATTAGTGATCGCTTCAGCTTATCCTCGGAGATGGACTCCGAGCTGCGTTTAAGCAAAATGGAGGCGATATCATCATAGCGAGCTTCCTCTTCGGGAGTTAGAGGCGGTATTCCATCGTAGAAACCCTTCAGCTGGATGCGATTCCCTCGCCCTTTCAATTTGGACAGTAGAAGAGTTAAATCAGATAAAGGTTCGTCCATCATATACGAACCGTCCACGCCAGAATGAATATCAGGCCAGGACGATTCTACACTGACGGTGGCGTGCAAAACGCCCCGCAATCCGTATGTCAGGCATGGAACCTCGTCGTCCAGCCAATAGCTGTTAGCAAGTAAAATGTAATCCACATCGCCAATCAGGGCCTTGTTGCTTTTAACGATGTCCTCGAAGCCCCTAGATCCGTACTCCTCTTCTCCTTCGATAAGGAAAATGACGTCGTTCTCTAGCTTCTGCGCTTGCATAAGATCTGTGACAGCATATAGGGCTGCAAGAATTGGGCCCTTGTTATCGCTCACTCCTCGGCCGTACAGGTAACCATTCGTGCCTGTAAGCGTGAACGGATCATTCGTCCAAGTACCCTTCCTGTTGTCGGCGGCCACGACGTCGTAGTGCCCGTAGAAAAGGATTTGCTTTCTGTTGTCGGATCCTTCTGTTTTCCCGGAAAAGCGAGCATACACGACTGGGTTGTGTGATGCATTGGTACGCAGCATCTCAACTTGACCACCGAGCCGCTTGAAGAGAGCTCCAAGATAAGTTGCGCCCTTGTGACAGTCTTCAGCAAACTCAGGCCGAGACGAAACACTTTTAAAAGCAACAAAGTCTTTGAGAGTGGACAACAGAACATCTGTGCCTTGTTCGATTGAAGTAATAGATTGGCAGAGATCTTCAAATGTCCATATAGAGATATTGTCGTCATTGGCTCCCGTAATGAAGAATTGCTCGTCGCTAAAGGAGGTCGTTGCAGAGGCAAGGATTTTACCTTGGTGAGCTTTCCATCGGCTGAGGCACTTGTATTTCTGGTTGACTTTGCCTAATGCAGCCGACTGCTGGTATTTGCCATAATGGGCAGTGCTATATTTCTGTACAGCTTGTTAGCTAGAGTTTTATTGAGAAGTCAGATGAATATCTGTAGACTTACACCGGACCAGCCGTCGCTGGAAGCTGTCCAGAGGAAGCCCCATCCCATCTGGAGAGCCATAATATCGGAATCGTGGGCTTTGATGACTCGTAATTTTTGTGTGGTATCTAGATCCCACAATTCCACAATACCATCAAGCTTCCCGGCGTAAAGAAATGACCCATCGATCGCCAGGGAGAAGACAGAATCTGCATTGTCTGTCCCAAGGGTCATGATTTCCTTTATGCCACCAACATTGTCCTGGGTATCCTGAGCTTTGCTGACCAGACTCCACAACTTGATAGTTCCATCACCGCCCCCAGAGATGAGTACGTCAGAGTCGGCGTTTGCTCCAATTGTCGGGCCCTTGGCCATGAGCATGCAGTAGACATACCCATTGTGTGCAAAGTTACGGACTGCACCGCTATCAATTTCCAAAACAGTCTTCGGTTTGGGAATGAGCGTCCATCTCCCATCGGTCCTGCGTGGTGTGGCAGTACCACCAACTGCTTTGGAATCGAAGAAACGATGGGTCCTTCTGTTGGGGTGTCGTTGAGAGTCGGGTGACACCTTAGCATCGGAATCGCTCAACTGGATCCACTGGATGGATGAATTCTGTGCCCCTAGATATAATGTATCGTGCTGGGGACTGTACGCGGTACAGAAGATATCTCCGGCGTCGTGGATGCTATAGATCTCGTACAGCCTCGTTAGGCTCTTGGGGCACCACACATTGATTATTGGGTCGCCGGCACTCGAGAAGAGTAAAGAGGCATCGGAGAGTACGGATAGAGAAAGGACGCTTCGTTTATGAGCTTGGATCGTGTGTACCCGTTGAAAGGTGGTCAAGGACCAAGCCACAATTTCGCCATCTTGGGTACCAGCATAGATTCGGTCGTCACCCGGACTCACAGCCAGAGCCAGAACCGTGCTCCCATGATTCAAGGTGTGGACAAGCCTTGGCTTGAGGTCGGAGGTGAGGCTGTCCTCGTGTGTCGGACTCAGCACGGGAGAAGTGGGCGACGATACTACGTCGACCGGCGGCATTGCGCTTGCGTGGCTGGGCGAAGCGACTACTTTCAGCACAAATTGTCAGTACATGCCAAGTGGCGCTGGTTTGTGTAGGTGTGCTGAATAGGAAGTACAGGAATTGGCCGAGGAGAAGAAGTATTGAGGAAGAAGCTGGAACCAACCAGCTTGAGTGTGATAGCAAGCTGAACTGGGTGTAGCTGTGGCTCCTCAAGATTAGGTTCTCAGTCCATTGGAGGTCGGAAAGAAGAGAAAGAGGTGGGGTCTAGGAAGGAGAAGAAGAATCTCAGGTCCGGGAGGAAGCTTTCAGGAGCTCAGCGTTGCGCGGTCGGTTCGAACAGGCACGCCCCCTGGGAAGAGAAAAAGCAACGTCTCCCGATGCCCTCTGACTCAAGCATCGGTGTGTTGCGATATCGTCGACGAGGATGCGATGGCGACAGCGGCGCACTGACCGACTGGTCTCACTGTCTACCTTAGTGCCGTGGCAGGCACCATCGCAGTCTCGTACAGGCTCCTTCCCAGCAACAGGCTAAAACGTCATACCGACATCCGATGATGTAAGCACGCCATGACTGCCCCTTCCCTCCTCATTCACAGCGCCCTTGCAGAAGCGTCCCTGATCCGCTCCCATAGCTGGGGTTCAACATGTGGCACTGGGTCCTGCGACAGGGAGTAATGTCCGATGGGTGTCGTCTGCTGCTAGACCGACTGATGGGCCTGGTCTTGTGACTCGACCGGCAACGCAATTCTCGTCTTTGCACAGGACGACGTCTCTTCCGCGCAGCCTCCACGACACAGCAACGGGCAGAGTGCTAGCAGGGCTGGGAACCGAGGAGAATGGGCGACAAGATTATTATTCACCCAGTAGCTAACTTACCAGATGTATTTGGAATGCGACCAGATCCATTCTGGTAGCTTTGGTCGTTGCCGTCGCCGTTACCGGTCACGGCGCGGTTGCCATCTCGTTGGTGTTCAAGGATCACGCTACCAGGCCAGATCCTAAAGGCCATGTCTCAATCGTCTTGTTGTCGAGCTCGGCGGGGGCAGGATAATGTATTGAATGTCAATGTCAGTCAAAAGCTAGCACATGTCAGATCTGGAGTGCAAATGGCGTCGGACGACATCGGCCTTTATATATCGTCGAGCGCGGCTCGTCGGCGTGTCGAAACACGTATCCCACTCCCTTGCAGGCATTTTGCCCTCACCGCATCCCAGGTTAGACGGTGCATATTTCCAAGGCGGCCAACCGGAAGCCATATCCATGCTCCGAATCTCACCGCGCTATGCCTGCATATGTGATCGACAACCCTTGTCTTGGGATGATGCTAACGAGATAAGGCCGTGCTGCTATTGCTGTCATGTCTGCACGTCCTCATAGCATATGCATCTCCTGTGTCTGTTCATTAATTATCATAATTGCCAGTATGATACCAGCTCTTTGCAGCTCTTTGCACAATAATATACCTTAGACCACCAAGATAGGGACGGGCCGGATTTCGGTGGTCCATGAAGTTACGGCCCCGATTGCCGCCCGCCGCCCAATTCTCTTGGCGTCTTCCATCAGGCAGCTTCGGTACTTGAATCGGGAGGCCTAATTCTTACCCACAAAAACACAATGGCGGCTGGTGGATGTTGGGGTAAAGGGCAGCAGGTTGGTGATTTGTACCAGGCAGGTGCTAAGGCAGATAAACCTCCGTTCCGTCTAATAGGCGAATACCTTACACGGAGAAGATCGAGCCCAATGAGGCAACCACACCTTTGCGTGATGTGCGCAACTTCCCTGTGAGATGGACACAAGCGAGCAAACAAGTAACTGGAGCCGAACCTGCCCAGAATCTAATCGCCAAGGCTCAGATTCGCTTCCGAATCCCATCTTGGGATCAGTGGAACATTTCAATTATCATCATAGGTACCTACCTAGGCTTGTTAGATGGAATCAAAGCATTCCTTACCATTACCTAGGTTCGGCTGCTCTATACTATTTTCTTTTCTCTTCCTCAAGTTAGCAGCCAGCTGCCGAAGACCCGTGATCTAGCTCCCTTCGACAGGTACTCACAATAAACAGCAAGCCATTCACCTCATCGGAAGTACATCTTTCGTCTTCGCTCAACCTCCCTTCCTCGACAGAAACCGCCAATGTGTGCTTGCTCATCTCTAGCCCTATGGGACAAATCTCTTGACTCCATCCAACCTTTGCCGAGCAATCCTCGCAGAAGCTATAGATATGCGGAATCCTCTTATGATAGGCTCCTTGATTGGGGCCCTACACCACGCCATGGCCTATTATACGATGGTCACATATTCACCCGAGAACCCAGAGATTGATGGGAAGATCATCAACGCAAACTCAAGGTCGTTCATCATTGGCGCAAAATCGCCAAGCACTTACTGTGACCTCAACAATCCATTTCAGTGCCCCAACAGCTCTTCCACGCTCGTAAACAATGATATGACCTTATTGGCTGTCTGTGCAACCCCAGACTTGCTCAGTTTGTGGCACGAGGACATTATGCTAACAGTACAGGTAGTCTGCCGTGCCTGGAGGTCAATTTATCTGGGTCGGTCTCGATGGTTCGGTGTCTTATGCATCGCCACATTCTGCCTTCCGACCTCCCGGATCGCAGATGGGTGGTTTTTACCCAGTGAAGCTCCTATCTGATTGCGCCACTTCAATTACAGTTCTCGTCTGGCAATCACACGATGGCGCCTCAGGGCTATGGGCCTGTCGCAGATCACCCAAGGAGCCCCTATTTCGAGAGGCCGTCTTGAAAGCTTCCGTCGCCAATTTTGTAAATGATGGGTGCCTTGAGGTAGAAGGGATCCAGATCATGGAGGCTGGAGACGAATTTGGGGCATGGGCTTATACTTGAGAAATATACCGTTGGGGATTCTTGTTGCGAATCATGCCCCAAGATGTGTGGCGGGCAGACTTCATCGAAAATGTCGATATATGTGTGTTGCTTCGTTTTAGGTCAACGACGATGTTTCCCAGTCTCTTATATTTCAATTTACGCCACTGAATTCACTCTAATAAGGCAAGCTAGTTACCATTGTAAATTGATGATGTTGTTCACGGAATTGAGGCCTGATGGGTATTCTCATTAATTTCCAGCGGCTGTCTAAGTCTGACGATGTAGAATGAAAGCATCGCTGACAGAGTACCTCCAGAAGCCATAACAATGTATTTGAGTTCTGCCAATGAATAAATATGCGTCGAGGCAGGGTACAAGCTTGAATGCCTGTATGAGGATGTAATGAGCTGCCAGAAATGTAACAGAGCAATAAAGTCCCATAGTTTGGTAGCCTCTTAAATCCCAATAAGATCTCAATCTTCATGAATTTGAAGAACATTACCCGAAGCATCGATCCTAGCTTTGGTCTTCTTCAAACTCTCATTACGCGGATTTGGTGCCTCAAATATGACACTCAATTCCTCAAGCGTCTTGCCCGCAGTCTCAACGAACCATTTCCAAATAACAAATATTTCGAATGCGATCCAGCAGCAGTATACAATGTCTTGCGTCCAACTCGTTAGGAATGTACGAGGGTGGGCAAGAGATGGGGCTTTTTCCAATGTTTACTCACATAGCTTCCACTTGATTTTTGCTATTCCCTCACTGATTCCGTAAGTATTGATGACCATCGCAATATTTAAGAAGAGATAGTTCAGTCCCGAGCCCTTTGCTCGGGTACGGTTTTCCAGGCACTCGACGGCATATCTACCCTCAGGTGTCAGTAAAAGCAAGGCAAGGTATCGTTGGGCTAAAGGGGGGAAGGGGTCTGCTCACAAGGTCTGGAGTGGAGTAAAACCCCACGCAAAACAAATATTAAAAAGATAAATCGAGACTATCACTCCGTAGGACAGGTTAGGGTGATTCTCGCTCTGGGCCGAGAAGGCCGTTAGCAGGATGTAAAAGGCAAGGGAGCCAATGAGGCCCCAAATCATCATCGTTCGTCGGCCGAGCTTGTCAAGCTGATACGAGCCCACCATGGCCGCAATCATGGCGAAGATGGGATTTATCGCGTTTATAAGAAGCTGCGTGTTGGTGTTGGTGATTCCAGCCGTTTTGATCATTTCGGGCTTACAGTGTTAGCGGATCGAAGCGAATACCTCCTTTTTTTTTTGTTTGACTCACCATAAAGTAGCTAACTACGTTGTTCCCACTCCACTGGCCGATGAAAGCTGTCAAGACCATCATTGTAGTCCTGTATCTTGCGGCTCGAGTGTTGAAGAGTTCGCGGTAGTCCCACCAGGGGTTCTCGTCTCGGTACTGCGCGGCCTGCTCTATGATTTCGCGGTACTGAAACTGAACCATTGGAGAGTTACGGTCCCCCTGTCCATGGTACTTGGCCATCACATCCAATGCTTCCTCTGCCCGGTCGTTGGCGATCAACCAACGAGGCGACTCGGGGAAGAAGAGAACCATGCACATGGCTACGCCAGGCATCCCAGCTTGGACGACAGTAGGGATTCTCCATGCCCATGAAGATGAGATATGCTTATTTGATCCGTATGTTGCCCAGCCGGCCCTGTGATAATAGAGTATTAGCGCTGTGACAGGTTATCCGAGCCGTATTACTAGGCAACTGTAAATGTTTTGTCTTACAGGATATTACCAAGCCCTGCATAGTGTCAGTTTTATCAGGATCTGCTTTAGATTCTCCGGCAGAGTTGGACTTACACCACAAGTTATTGTACGTTCCAGCCATCACACCTCTGAATGCAGGATGGGCGAGTTCAACGGCATACGCAGGGGCTGCGGCTGATGCAATCGATGCGCCAAACCCCAAGACTACACGTCCGCCTATGAATGCCGCGAGGTTCTGGCTTGACGTTTGGATAGCCGTGCCGACCAACACGATCGCACAGCCGATAAACATGCACCAGCGTCGCCCAAGGCCATCGGCTAGAAGGGGACAGGCTGGAAACGAGATTATCTGCCCGAGCTGGTAAGATATGAACACGAGCCCTGTGCTTGATCCGGCCCCAGAGAGGCCAAATGATTCCTGATATGGTATCATGGCGTTAATGGCCCCCATGAGGGAGCTGTCTGTGATAATTTTGGTTAGTGCTTGCAGTCTCGAGCGAAGATGCAATCATACCAAAGCCATTCATTGTAGAAATCAGATATGAGATTCCCATTATCCCCCACAAAGGCATCATATGTCTAGAAAACATCTCGGGTTTCTGCTCCTCAATGGCAGCGGCGAGTGCTGCGCTTGCAGTAGTCACGTGTATGCCTTCAGACTTGATCCCACTGTCATCAACCACCAATTCAGGCAGATCATTTGAGGGCTGATGACCCAGGCCATTTTTCTGGGCCTCTTTCGACATAGTTGCTATCGTGTGCCAAGTGTAATTGAAAAGCTGCTGAATATCTTGAAGTAAAGGTAGTAGTGAAGGGATGACGACTCCCTAATAAGAAACACCATCGGTTCATGATATCCCGGCAGATAGCCCGGCATGGTAGATGCTAGGCAGGACAGATGGCACGGGACAAACAGAGTTTGGTGTCCTCGCCATATTTCCCCTTGTATCAACCTATGAACGCCGAACGATGTTCCAATGTCACCCTAATACCAATGGCCCGCCCCGAACACTAAGCGCTCCTCTCAACTAAGTGAGCCATTGTCGATATTGGAAGGTTGCCGAGAGTCTAAAAAGATTGTCACGTATACTACCAGACCGAGACATGGCGTGCATCTTCTAGACTACTTCAGGAAATGTGAGTATCCAGAAGAGCTATCCATGTCCGTTGACCATGGAGCCGAGCGGGGAACGCGGGGAAGAACTCCTCTTTCGAACTTTGCCGGCGCAGCTTTCAATTGGGAATTCTTATTGCATGACCTTGTTTTATGGTAGAGCCGCTGGCGTAGGATTCAACTGGTCAATTCGGCCAGCATGGGTCCCATTTGCTTGACTCCCGCACCAATGAGCAATACCGCCTTCATGCAGCACAAGACCAGTGCTGGGATAGATCCACAGATCAATGACATTCATGTCGTCTCACAAACTTGGAAACCCCACCGGTCTTGGTAAAATAGCCAACTTACACATTAGCCGGGATGCTATCGCCAATGAACCATAGAGTAGTATTCTTGTCAGGTGCTTTTTTTCCTCGTCGACACAGACGCACATGTCACCCCATGAGTTGGTCAGGGACAAAGAAAATTGTTCCTTTGATCATGACTGTGAGGAGATTTCCAGGGCAGAGTGGCGGTACCAGGTAGTATCAGGCCAACTCACATGTTGGAAGTAGAGAGACACTTAGCTATGTCCCTAAGAGGCGTGGACCAAAACATGAGTAGGTGTGTCCGACGCACATTCACTCACTCACCTGTAAATCTACCAAACATTTCAACAAAGCACTCAAAGTCTGTTTCGGGACATGGGTCGCCCAACACGTTCCATGTGGTCTCATCTGTGATAAGCCAGGTCAAACACTAGCCAAAGTTGTAACCCTTCTCTAAGACTATACTAAGCATATATGCCGTTGAAGCAATTTCTTGCGCCTCGACCGCTTCGTCATCAATTTCGAGTGAGAACCGAAGAAAGTCATCCATGACTCGCGATATAGCAGAGTAGGTCCTTCTACTCAATCCCGGCGTACTTGAACTTGGCGTGCTTGCTAGTCGGATGTGTGAATAAACTCTTCATATTCGACAAATGCAGGTTTCCTCTATCTCGGCTACTTTGGCGGTGGGCTAGGGAGAGGGATGAGATGCCTCATGTTTTTTTTGAGGCGAAGCTTTGAGGATTAAATAGCAGGTTCGGGATTTCTATTGTAAAAAATATCACAATAGGGTGGGCTTGTTTTAACGCCCTTGATTCCAACCTAGGTTTTTTTTTTCAATTCGTAGAAGAGGTCAAGGTGAGAGCTACGGCCTGGGGTGTCATGTCAGGTTCAAAATACGTTGACAGTTGCTTGACGTTTGTTGACAGCTTTCTCACTTTGAACAGTGATCCAGGTGCAGTGACAAAAGGGACCGAATTCGAAATTTCACCCTCCAATCTACCCTTCTGAGCACTTCCTCCCTCCCAACCAGCCAGCAATCCAACGACAAACACTTACAACATTCATTTCCCATTACAAAGATTACTTACAATGTCAGAACCGGATCTATCAAAAAGATCAAACGATGCCAATGACCAAGAGTCAACAAAAAGAGTCAAAGTAAGTATAGAACCAGCGGGAAAATGGCAACAACTGCGGATTGACTCAAAGGCGCCCAGTTCTTCTCGGAAGCGTTCCAAAAATGGCCAGAATGGCGTGCCTGGGCGATCTATTGGCAGTAAGACGCAAGTCAAGGATGACAATTTTTCCATCTGCGAGCGTCTAGACTTCAGACTGAAAGCATACATTGACCAAGATGGTAAGGAGCGATTATTTATGGGCGTGGTATCATGTGGCAGACATCTCCCCAATCTGGTGTCCCCAGTCCAAGGCTTCAATCCTGGCATAACCATGGGAGTATGCTCCTTGGGAAATACGAGTCCTATTGACGCAGCTATTGCAATTGCGGGTGACCATTCCGAGTACAAGCATCTACCACACATGCCCCATGTGTTTTTTATGGTCGGTCCTATGGCGAAGCATCCTGATAGTGAGGAGGGCACCCTTTCCTCCAGGTATGACAGGATATTCCTAAGCAGCTCTCAACAACGCATCAATCTACCGCCCAAGATGTCCAGAGATGGAGAAGACAGCGACAGCGATATGTCAAGCCACTCGGATATGGAGGGCCTGATCCGGGAACGAGACCAGACCATCCAAGAACGAAACCAGGCGATTCAAGAACGAGACCAGGCGATCCAAGAACGAAACCAAGCCATCCAAGAACGAGACCAGGTGATCCAAGAACGAGACCAAGCGATCCAGGAACGAGACCAGGCGATCCAAGAACGAAAGATGTTTAACCACGTCGTCCAAACTGGGAACCCATACATCGGTCACAACCCTGTCGAATTAGTCGGAAGATATTCCAGTTCAGAGGGCCACGCATTGCTGTACAAGGGGTTTATGAAAAAATGGGAGGATGACTCCTTAGAATGCAAAGATAAATTAGAAAAGGCAACTGACCTAAGGGCGCGCCACACAATCATCAAAGCCAGCCTCGATGGCATATATCGGATTTCTCAAGACTTTGATGCGCAAGCGACATGGATGTCGGCACGGCACACTATTCCACCGCCCTTCGATGGAGATAATAGCATCGGATAGTTCATTTCCAGGGCAATATCTCTTTGAGATTGGGACGAGCTCCAACATACGACAAGTCCGAGCTGAATGGGTTTGGCATCTCGGATTCTATCCAGTATCTAGTTAAGTCCAGCCTGGTACACTATTAGAGGCGTCTCAGCTCACTTTCATGCTTTCCATTAAAGAAAATCTCGGCGGGTGGTCGGACCCAGGAGAATTCAAGTGTTTGGATGGTCCCTTGAGACTCCAAGAACTTCATTTTCTCAAAGATAAAAATATACAAGCTCGCTAGGCACAATTTAACAACCCCTCATCCTCCTAAGTCATCGCCACATCAATCGCTTGAGTGATCTGATGTCTCTCGTCCTCCATCTTCCTCCTGCTCATCGTCTCCATATACTCCACTTGTATCTACACCCGAGCTCGTCGCGGGGCTCGGTTGGCCACTCGCATGGAGCAAGTGACGATTCTTCCAGTAAGACTGTCGTACGCCCGCGGTTGTCCTTGTGGGGAAGTGAGCCTATGATTATGGAGTTGAGATTAGTGGTGTTGTCTATTCGTGCCGCGGGAAGCATTCGATCGAGTGGTCCCGCAAATTACCTCTATATTCTTCCATGACAGTCCATCTTTTTTCAGTTTTATAAGGAGATCTACCTCCTCTCGCGTCCAGCGCTGGTAATACGAGGAAACCTCGGTGGGAGTCTTTGGAGTGCCCTGCTGAAGCATTCGTAAATAAAACTTATCTTACGGAATATAGGCCAGCCCAGACTTACACGATGCTTCGGTTTGCCCTGAGAAGTCAGCTCGGCTAGTACACCAACAAGATTTCCATCTTTCAATTCCTCCCACGGGGTCTCATTCGGGTGCTCTGGGAGCGGCGTGCGCTTGTTTCGGAGAGCCCTGAGTTGCCAGAGCTTGAGAATCATGACCTTGCGACGGGGTTTTACTCCGCTATCCATATCTAAGGGGGTTGAGGTTAAGTCTAAACAATGTGTGTGAATTATTAGAAAGCGACTGGGCAGGGCACAGAGAGAGCGTGTGAGGAAACGATAAGCCAGGTGGCGTGAGATATGAAAATGATCAAATGCTGAGATATTTGGGGGAAAGATTGAACCGGCAATGAATGAATAACCAGGTGCTTATATACTTATTGTGCGGATATCACAATGGAGCAAAGGTGAAAAAAAAGTTAATTGGACCAAGAGGCCCTGTAAAGGCTCTGGCGTCGGGGGAATTCTGAACACCTACCAATTCACTCTCTCTTCGACTTCTGCCCAATCATCCAATTCTTACTACTACTTTTTGTATCTAACCGTTCCTTTTTTTCATTGTCTGTCTTGCCTAAAAGACGGTTGCTCGGAGGTGGTGACTAAAGACACCTTCCCCTACCTTAATGTGGAACAGGAGTTGAGCTTTCTCAATGAACATGGATGAAGCCCACACAGTATCCAATTCATGTTATGCCCTATGTTTGTGTGTTTGTGAACTTTCTTCTTTTCTAGGACAAGAGCCTGTTTGCCATGCATCGTCTTGCCTGCGGATGACCAGCTTGATAACCACGGATGTGACCCAACTCATTGGACACTTTCAAGTTTCAGGCTTCTGATTGCACAATGATCCAAAACATTCACGAACCTGATTCCTTTCTACCCCTTTTCCTCAGTCCAAGCTATACCAGCGACATGTTGTCTAGCGAAGATACGTATATGGCACCCTGTACGACCGATGCATCAAGCAAGGGACAGCTCAACATGGTACCATTTTCAAGCAGTTTCTTTCTTTTCATGGTTTCTTCTCCACAAATCATCCCTTGTTTATTGCTTTTGACACGCCTTGAAATACATCGTCCAAGTCTTCTAGAGTGTTCATTTGCAAGTATCTGCCCAGTATACTAACTTTATTCATGTATTTCCTCTAGGTGGATATACTTTACAAAGCTTTGAACACTCTTGGCCTTTTTAGAACGAATGAAGACTAACCGGACAGAATTTATCCACTAGTACCTAGATACGTCCATCCCATCCATTGCCCTCCTGTATTGACGACATGAATCTCCTGGTGTTGGAGTAGATCAATGTTGCTCTAGGGTAGGTTCACGGTATCGGCTGTCGGCGAATCAATCTCAGTTGAAGAATCTACCTACCTACCGACTACTGTTTACCTTAGGTAGGTAGGTACCTTAGTGTGGGGAAAAGTCTGCTGTGAGATGCCCAGTCCTGGCCTCCTGGCCCAGAGCAGGGAGAAATCGAGGTAAAATCGAGTCGGGCCAACTCGAGGATTGCTGACAATTGATCCATCAGATCGCGCACCAACAATGCATGCAAGTAAAAGGCACGCACCGGTTCGCTGGTCAATGGCTGGCCATCCCTGTCTCCCCACACCCAAACCCCTCCATCCGCTTCTTAATTCTGCCTAGCTGTAATAAAGTGTTGGCTGGCAATTACCAAGTAAGGCTGGCTAACTTTCCATGGAGGGTCGACCGCTTTCGATAAAAAATGTGGCGGGGCAGCTAATAACCGTCATCGCAACCAGGCTGCATCGTCCTCCCGCGTCTTGTGTCGCCCACCTCCAGCCTCATTGCCTCCCGTCCTCATCAGTGACTGATTCTGTTGAGATATTTTCCTAGGTTTTCTGCTCCTATCCCCATTTGCATACTCGCTGGTCTGCACGGACCGAATCCTTCCTGGAAAATGGAAGACCAGTTCGGAGGCCGCACCGATGACGATCTCTTTTACGACGACTTCGAGCCCGTCGAGAGTGCACCCGTAGTCACCCAAGAGACTGCAAAGCCTCCTGCACCGCCACCAGCTGCCCCAGCGCAGGAGACTCCTGCTGCGCAACCCGCGTCTAGCTCTGCTTCTCCAGCGACGGTGAATCCAGCGCCAGCCAAGTCGGCGCCGAGAGGGCTCGCGTCCTCCCGCTACGCTGACACTCCCGAGCCCAAACCATCCCCCCCCTCTGCGCCCAGAGAGCAGCAGCCAAGGTCGCAGCCCGAACCCGAGACCAAGCCCGAACCTCAGCCTCAACCTCAGCCTGAGCCCCGGGAAGCCGAGAAGCCTCAAGCTCCCAAGCAGACCCAGGAACCTGAGCAGGCTCAGCAGCAGCCCCCCCAGCCCGAGCCGTCTCAACCCCAGGAAACATCACAGCCAAAGCAAAAAACCCATCATCAGAAGCGCCAGAAGTCCGCCTCCAACAATGGACCGCCTGCCAGCGCGCCCACTGCCCCGAGGGACAAATCCCACCGACCATCGGACAAGGATTCCCAGGCCGCACCGAAGGAAGCCCGACTGCAATCCGGCGCCAACCCCCGACAGAAGCTCACCGAGGCCGAGCTGACCGCCAAGATGGAGCAGATGAAGATCGTCTCGGCCGAGAAGACGCGCAAGTTCGAGAAGGCCGAGCAGGACGAGAAGCAGCACGCCCAGGCCTACGCGCGGGGCATGGAGGAGGCCCGCAAGAGGAAGGTGGAGGCGGAGGAGCGCCGGCGCCGGGGCGAGGAGAATCAACGGAAGCTGAACGACGAGCGCGCCAAGAATCGTGAACGCAAGCTCAAGGCCATGGGTATGAAGGAAGGCGGCTGGGATGAGGGCAAGGAAGCCTTGGCTGAGGAAGAATCACGGAGAGGGTTCAAGGGCGCTAATGGAGGCGTGAGGGGTACACGAAGTGGTGGTCTCGGTGGCAGTCGATATGCGAGGGAGGCCGAGGAAACTCCAGATGTAGATCGATTCCTGGAGGACCGAGGCCGTGGCCGGCGGAGGGGAGGAGGAGGGGGTCGGGGGCGCGGTGGTAATGGTCGCGGAGGCCGGGGCGGCCATGAAGCTGCTGGGGAGAGAGCTGCGGAAGTCAAGCAGTCGATCCCCACCACGGACGACTTCCCTGCCCTCCCTTCGGATGGTGTCAAGCAAGACAAATCCAAATCAGTCCCCGAAGGTCCAGCTCTAACCGCCCTGCCAAAGCTGACCGGCGGGAAATGGGATGATGAAATGGCGGATCTTGATGCCGCTAACCAGAAGGCATAAAATACTGAGGCTCGCTGTCTCTCATGCCAAAGAAGCAACCCGGATTAAACGAGTCGGCGTCAAAAGCGAGATCCTCCTGAGCTAAGCGTTGTGTTAGGAGTCCAACAGCCATCGCTCACGTAAGGCGGCTGCAGCGGTATTGGACATAAATATATTAAAATAGGATAGTTTGCCCTTGATATTTCGCAGTATGGATAGAGCAGAATCATGATACCTCGTAATTTGACATGGACTTTGAAAAGGATGATAAAATCCTGAGAGTTGTGATTTGTGTAGTGAACGCATTGTGTGCTCTCTTAAAACGCCAGTTGATTTATGCATGAGCCATGCGGCAAAGACCAACTTTTGACACGTTGTAATAATATATTGACCCTGCATTATACTAACAAGAGAGGAGCATACTCAAGAACCAATAGACTCCATCTTCCGAGTTGATCCCGATATTTATAAACGAACCCTAGACGCCAAGCTTGCATGCATTAAAGAACACTCCTAATCTTCCCCAAGAAGGGACTCCCGACCACTTTTCACCAGCCTCCACGATACGATCTGCCCCCCCTCCCGCCTCTGTAGCCTCCTGACCCCCTAGGTCCCCTTGGGCCTCCGCCAGACCCATCATCGTCCAGAGGCTGTCGAGCACGGCCCTTCATCTCCCTCGGGAAAGCGTCGTAAGTCTTGCGCATCTGCGCGTAGCCCAAATGCATCTTTCCGTAGAAGTGGTCTGCGAGGCGACGATCGTTGTCGAGACGACTGAGGTATGCGCCGCACACGTCGCAGACCTGGAGTTTCTGGTGGCCCGAGGGCCCAGACGTATCGGACAGCGCCTTCAGCTCGCGCTCGCGCTCGGCCTTGGCCTGTATCGCTTGCCTGACTCGGAAGAGCTCGTCTTGGGCGCGGGAGACTTCGGACATGGAGCCGAGAACCTCGACTTCCAGGAAGCCATTGTTAATGGACGAGGATAGTTCCGATATGTTCTTAAGCTGTATAAATCAAAAGAGCTCTGCGGTTAGCTACAATGGCCTTGGAGAAGGTAGATAGAAAATGATGATATAGAGGGTTTGACGTACCAAAACGTTTGTCTGACGAATCTCATCTGGCGTCTTTTCTAACCTCCTCTGCGCAGCATCGATCCTTCGATTGCACTCTTCGATGTACTTTTGCAGGTCGCGCATGTAGTCGTACTCGAATCCGTATCTCTGCTTCTCCCGATCGGGAAGCGCTTCGTATTCCACCTTCAATCCCTCGGCGTGGACTTTGGGACAGGGCCCAATGTCCTGCTTGGTGTTTGTGAACAGGTCATGCGGGCACGTGCCGGCCAGGTACGAACGGCAGACTTTCGGGTCGTTAAGGGAAAGCTGGGCCGATCTCGACGAGGAGGAGGCTCCCATGAGCTGCTCAAGCAGCTTCCTTTGCTCGGCGGCCATGGCTGCGGGTGGTCGTGACGGATGGATGGATTGGGAGGTTGTTGTAGGCTGGGATCGCGACTCCGGCAGGTCGAAGAAATTCGGCGCCGGAGGTTTTCAATGGAGCCAGCGCCAGCTCCACAGTGCTGGTAGCTCGCTGCCTGCCAGTTACTGACGGTGCCTGCAGCTCCCTGGTGGTGGGGCCATATTGCCGCCACCCACCGCTTAACTTTATAAGGCAAGATCCAATTCCCCATAGCTGTCGGTAGGGCGCTCCGTCCGGATTACGGTGTCAGCTAAGGGATACGGTAGTGAACGCCTACATTGAAGCTACGTATCTCCAAGTGTCTGTGAGCGACAAGCCACCATCTATCAGGTTGAGATGGGAAACGCCCGGTCGCGCCATTCTTAATATCGTCCACCGATTTACTCCTTCATTGCATTCCATTCATTCATTATGCGTTTCCCTTTAAGCATTTCCTCGCTGCTGACATCCAGTCTCCTGCTTTCTACTGCATCAGCATCATCGGATTACCA